GGTTATTTCTTACTTCTTCCGACTTGGCTTGGTTAAGCTTAGGTCACATTGATGCTTCTTGGAGCTTCCTTCCTTGCCATACTTCCAAGGAACCGAGAAGGATTTGAAGGTGTTCTTTGAGGATTCACCAAGTGGAACCTCATCACTTAGTAGGAGTGTTAGATTGGTGGATTTAAATTTAAGGGTTGAGAATCAAGGTCGAGTCATCGTGTGAAGAGTTCGAGATTCTCTTACTTTCTTCCTTTCCTCTTCTCATTTTAGAGTGATTTGAGGTAAGAGAAATTTGTTGATTGATGCTTGTTAAATTATAGTGTTTGATTTCTTTTTGGATTCATTATGTGATGGTTGATATTGATTGAATTCAAGAAGGGAGAACTTTTTGTTTAAGTGTGCTGCATTAAAGGAGTTTGGATGAAAATGGGTGATTCTTGAAATCTGTGGTTGCATGTTGATTCTTGTACTAGAATTGTGTTATTTAAGGTGTATATATGTTGAATGCATGTTGGTTTGTTTTGAGATTCTTGTAGGTTAAGCCAAAATTACAATTTTTCCAAGTGCAGAAATTTCCATGGCACTAGGTGTGATGCAAGTTAGGGGCTCTCAACCTCATTGATGTCAAACACAGGATTGGTATCATGGTGCATGAGTTAGTTAAAAGCTCTCTAACTTGGTCATATCAGGAGTGGAATGAAAGGCGATGAGTGTGATTGCTCAAGAAACTTTTCGACTTGGTGACGTCAAGCGCGTGTTATGTAGTGTTGGGGGTAATTAAGTCAATGACTCTCTGATTGAACAACATAAAGTGTGGGTTTTGTAGTGCTAAACATAGGTCACATAGATGTTCTTTTCTTAAATAATGTCTAACATGGATTTTGTAACCCCGAACATGGAATACATAGGGACTTTATGTCTCATTCTCGCCAAGTGTAGGTAGTTTGACATTGGGAATGAGTAAGCCAAACACTCTTTGCCTCACTAATGAAGGGCGAATGATGTCGGACGTGGTTATGCTGAATGAAACTTTTAACTTAGTCGATTAAATATTGAAGTATGTTGATGGTTTACATGATATATATTGATGATTGATTGTAATTCATTATGTATTGATCTCTAATGATATATAATGATATTTTAAGTTGTTTAATTTGGAAGTTGCCTATTGTTGGAAGTTGATTAAGTTGTAAGTTATATGAAGTAAGTCGATTAAGTTGATAAGTTGTAAAGACATGTATGCATATTTAAGTTGAATTGTATAAAAACTAGAGGAAAGGAAATTTTTTATTAGAAATTAAATTATCTCATTGTGTAGATATAAGTTGTGATACTCTGATATTTCAAAGTTGAAAACCTTTCAATGAGTAAAATTACTCTTGAATAGGAAGTTGTTTTAAGTTGTCTTTTTTAGGTTTTTATGTTGAAAAACATAAGGGTTATGTTGAACCATACTGGTTTAGAAGCAACCAATTGAGTAGGGTACAAGGTTAGGGGCAAAAATCTCTAACTAAGTACTAAAAAAGTGCATAGTGTTCGGAAGGTAATCGACGAGCTAATTCTGGTTGGACGATTTTTCAAAAACAAACGCGCTTATGACTTCAATGTGTGTGCCACATAGACTAATATGTAGCACAATTTCTATTCCATTTTCATTAACATTTTAATATTTATTATAATTTGTTTATCATTTTATAAGATTAATATGATATTAAATATTAACAAATTAAAGTTATCAAACCCTCTTCTATGATCTCAATGCTTGAAAAGGAATTAGTTTCATAGATGTCTATGGTTTGCACAAAATATATATATATATATATATATATATATATATTTGTTGTATGAATGTCTGAGTATTGTTGCATGAAAATCCTAGTATAGTTACTTACTTTATATTTTCCACTAAGTTGTAATTGTATTATACTAAGTGTAGAGTCATTACAAATTTCAACCATAATTTGGATATTCCATATCAACCAATCATTTGTATTTTGACTTCAAGACAAACATAAGCTCATCCAAAAAGAAAAATCAATGGAAAACAAACAATTAAACCTAACAAAAAGCATTGCATCAAATTAAATATAGTACTTTCATTACCTCTAAATAGAATAATAACCTCATAATCATAACATGTAACAATCTTTAACTATGCCACCACTAATACTTAATAACTATGTTCATGCATGTTACTTTTAAACATAGAGCAATTTAGAAACAAGTTTGTTAATTGAAATCTCAAAATTAATAAACTAAAGCAATCAATAAAACTAGTTACACCATAACAATCAACAAAACATCTTTATACTATATGACAAACACTAGTTGTAAAGCTATAAATGAACACCAACTCAATGCCCACAAACCACTAACAAAGTTATGCGACCACCACAATATCAACACTTTAAAGCTTACTTTATCCTATTTTATATCCTTCATTCTTATGTTTTGATTCTTAATTTTGTCTTTTTCATCGTGCACATCCTTTGATTTATTGACTTTCATGGAAGCCTCTTTCTCAGGAGTTTCTATGTTTGATAGGATTTCATGTGGCCTTCATCTATCTCAAATGGGAGGCTTGTTATCTCCTAAGGTTTTTGTGGCTATGAACCATGAGATGGGAAAGAGGGAGTGATGGACCAAAACAAAGAAATGAATCAAAAAGATCTAATAGAGAGATAAACCCTAGACCCAAAAGGAATATAATCAAAATGATTACAATTTAAATTGGGAGAGCGAGAAAGAACAAAAGGATGTGCAAGCATGGTTCTTAGATAAAAAGTAATTGAGATTTAGAAGAAGGTGAGGAGAAGGGGCAATAGAGGTAATAAAGGTAAAGGGAGTAAATGGGCAACGTAACATAATTTTATCTACAAGAAAAGGCGAGGAGAAAGGGCAACATAAATAGTAAAGATAGAGGGAATAATAGGACAACATACCTTGTAATTTCATCTACACTATTGACTTAAAGATAATGTAAGAAACATTGTGCATAAGGAGACATAATTTTTACCCATAATTAGACAACGCTTTTATTACAAAATGTTATCTAAATATCAATATTTAACGACATGTCTTTGAAGTAGCACTGTGTAATGTACTCTCCACCCTTATAATAACACTTGTAATAGGTGAATGTTTTCTAAGATGTGCTATTAAGGACCTCTTTTATTGTAGTGATTGATGAAACATACTAAAAAAGATAATTATAATTTAATTTTTAATTTATTTCATTGTCAATGATTATATTTGAATATATTTAATATTCTTATCTAAATAACTTATTAGATTTTGTTGAGATTATTTGATATACATTTATTTTAATTATATGACATTAATAGTTTTTATTTTTTTATGATAAATAATTATAAACATAAAATTTACATATTAGTTATGTCATGATTACTGCATAACTAAAATACCCGTTAAAAATGGAAAATGAATAAACTTTTATTTCATGTCAAAAGGAAGGGGAATTTTATCCTCATTTTTTTTAATTCTCTTAAACAAACAATAGAAATTTAGAGTTTGTTTTGTATACGTTATTATTGTGAAAATTATTTTATTATTAACCAATAAAAAATTATATTAGGTATAACTTTTATAATTGTAAAATTTAACAAACTTACTATACATGATAATTTTCAATTGGTTAATAATATATAAATTCTTTACATTGCATAAGCATATAATGTTTATTTTAACACTTATAAAAATTGTTAGATGAAAGATTATGTTACAATCCTAAGTATTTTATTGAGTAAACAAATTAAGCTTATAAGCTTAAAAGTCACAACATTAAAGGTTTGACATTCACATAACACAAAGACACTATAATAATATTTAACAGTTATATTTTTATATGCCTATATATACAAATAAGTTTGAAGATAAAGATGTTGATTAAAAAGTGACATAACTAGTTAAGTCTTTTCACTCAATCAAATCTACTTCCCCTATGTGTTATATCTTTTCAAACTTTTGTTGTTCATTGGATATGGGGTAGATGATCAGTAATCTTATTGAAAATTCTCGAATAAACTAGTGGTTGACTTTAACATTGCATATGGTCTTACTTTACCTTCTAAATTTTCCTCTAGAAAAAAATGTTGATTAATCTTTGAACTCTTCTATTTTTTTTTTATATGTTTATTGTCTTGTAATCTTTTTTAAGTGTCATATATAAATATCTTATCCTAACTATATTTACATAAATTAAAACCATATTTTATCCTTTTTAAACATTATCAAAACATTAAAATATAATTTAAAATACTTACTAGTTAATATAATTAATGAAACATTTTTATAATAAAATTATACTCATTAATTTTTTAAAATATTATATTATTAAATTTTAATACATTCTCTTTTATTTTTTCACATGTATTTTCTTTTAAAAACAATTATGTTCAAAACAGATATTACATGTAAGCACATCTCCTAATAAGAATTCTAGTGTTGATTCATAATATTAAGAAGAAGTAATCTCTTTTATGAAATCTAATTTTTGTTATTTTTTAATAAAACTATTATTAAATATGATATTTCACAATTTTAATAATATGAAGAACTATTATCATTGATTAAAAAAAATGCAATAATCCAACAAATTATTGCATTTATGAAAATTCGACTTTAAGCAAAAACTAAATATATATATTATAAAAGGTATGAAATATATACAATATATAAGATTCAATATATATACTATATACATCAATAAAATTTGATTTCAAATTGCGCACAACTTTTTGGTTAAACAATAAGTTAAAAATAATTTTATGAACTTTTTTATATATAAACTCTTTATTTATTATAATTTTTTTTTAATATTTTTTAAATTTATATTCAAACATGTTGTATCTAAATTGTATCTTAAGATTTAAAAATCTAAATAAAAGAATAATTGAAGGAAAAAAAAACCTCAGCAGAATTGAATTAAATTAAATTAAATTGAAATTCTAAACTTAAATATAAAATAAATAGAAGAATAATGTGAGTACCTAAAGTTGAAAATTAGTGAGTGTTCGAACTTTGACGACGCGGGCCTTTGGCGGCTTTTACCTGGCCTGCAACTGAAAGTACCGAAAGTCCGAACTTGTTTTCAACCTTCTCTTCTCTTCTAGATCCTTCTTCGCTCTCTTCTTCACCGTTTCTTTTTCTATTCTTTTCTCTTCTTTTTCTCTGCGTTCCCCCTTCGCTGGAACCAAACACCAAACACTAAACAGCGTCTCATTCTAGATCCTTCCAAACCCTCAGACATGGCGAGGTTCGGCGAGGGCGACAAGCGGTGGATCGTGGCCGAGCGCCCCGACGGCACCAACGTCCACAACTGGCACTGGGCCGAGACCGACTGCTTAGAATGGTCCAAAGCCTTCTTCAAGAACCACCTCACAAACGTCGCCGTGGCCACCGCCGCCACCGCCGCCGAAGCCTCCGTCACCATCACCAAACTCCAGAGGCTGGACGGCGAGGCCTACGTGAACGTCCGCAAGGGCAAGGTCATCCCAGGCTACGAGATCAGCCTCCTCATCGCCTGGGAAGGCCAGCTCCATTCCGCCAAAGTCTCCGGCGCCGCCGAGATCCCCTACCTCGCCGACGAAAACGCCGGGGAGGATCCCGAGGTGAGAGTCAAGGTCAAGGAGGACGGCGAGGTCGCCAGCAAGCTGAAGGAGGTTATGGCGACGAAGGGGAAGGAGCTGATTCTGGAGAGGGTTAGGGTTTGGGAGGCCAGCATGGCGAAGGGCGGGCCGGTGAAGGAGGAGCTCGAGGCGAAGAAGGCGGCGAAGCGTGCCGCTGCGGCGGAGAAGAGGAGTGCGGGGAAGAAGGGGTGTAAGGTGATTAGTTTGACGGAGAGGTTTAGGTGCAGGGCGAGGGACTTGTTTGAGATAATGATGGATGAGAATATGTGGAAGGGGTTCACGCAAAGTAATGCGAGGATTAGTAGGGAGGTTGGTGGGGAGTTTAGTATTTTCGATGGGTCGGTGATTGGGAGGAATCTTGAGTTGCAGGAAGGGAAGTTGATCGTGCAGAGGTGGAGGTTCGGGAGCTGGCCTCATGGGATGCAATCAACGGTGAGAATTCATGATTGTGGATTTTCTTGTGTTTGTCATTTTCCTTTATGGTGGGGGTGTGTTTGGACGATGAATTTTACAAATTCAAGAAATTTTAAATTCTTGGTAGTTGAATTACTTTGATTTCAATTTCTATCATTCTTAAAATATTTTGTTTGGATAAGTCAATTTAAATTTATCAAATTTTAAATTGTTGGGTTGGATATGATAATTTGATTCCACCATGGTAAAATTAATTTTAAAAATATATTTATATGTTGATATTTTTAAATTAAATTTTATAAAAATAAATATTAGCTAATTTGTAAATATTTATAATAATTTTAAAAATTAATATTAAATAATATTTAATAATTTTAAAAATATTTTTGAAAATTCAATAATTAAAAACATGAAAAAATAAGAGATAAAATAAAATATATAAGTGAAATAAAAAAAAAATGAGAAATTTTAAATTCTTACTTTTTTTGAGAGAATTTGAAATTCTACTATTTCAAGGAATTTCACAAATGCTTGAATTTCATATTCCTTATAAATTCTCCATCCAAACAAGGTATTTCACTTTAAAGAATTTGAAAATTTTCAAATAAATGAATTACTCCATTTAAATTTCCCAGCCAAATACACTATTATGCTTCTTTAGATTGATATTATGTGTGTGATGTAATGTAACCAATCTCGTGGTTGTAAGACCTGTCTTGGAACACAAGAGTTGACCTGGCAATGTTAAAATAATGTTTGGTCGTCGGAAGTCATGTTTTGTGTACGAAGATTAGTTCTTGATTGTTAGCTTTATGATGTTGCGTGGATTATGTTTATGGACAAAAAAACAGTTGATAGATAATTGGTTTGTTAAGTATGCTGGTAGGTATTGATTCTTGATCATGGACATGTTTGGATAAATTTATGCATAAGGACTTATAGGAGAAAAGAATAGAATGTGTGATGTAATGTAACCTACTGGGTAGCATGGTTGGTTTGTTGAACATGTTGTTAGGTATTGATTCTTGACCATGGACTTGTTCCGATAAGCTTTTGCATAAATACTTTTAGGAGAAAAAAATAAGATGATAAGATAAAATAAAATAAACATAAGTTAAAATTACCTTATGTATAAGTTAATTTGTAAAAGTTTGCACATATTACTTCAAAATGTATTTTTAATTTATGTATAATCTAGTTTTAAATTATAGAAAAACTTATTTTATTTTTCTATTTTATTTTTTTCTCCTAGAAGTGTTTATGGAGAAATTTATTCAAATAGGTTACATGTGTATGGAAAACACTTTGTTGAAAGAGGTGATCTTTACACTTAAGAAGGAAAGAGTGTGGATATTCTTGGTGCTGACAATAAAAAAAGAATGTGATGCGAGTTCTTGTGGAATCAGAATTTAGTAGTAAGAGTGATATATGAACATATTCTAAACTTAAGTTTGATAGACCACTGTAGTTGAGTTTAACAGAAGGATATAGTTCCTTGTTCGACTTTTCATTGAGAGAGACAATGACATTTAGAGTCTTATAGTGATTTTCTCTGAAAGAAGATACTTGTACCTGTGACTAAACAAAAGGAATCTAATTTTGATAGTTAAAAAGAACTTATTTTGTTGATACACCTTTAGACTAAAGACTGAGATTTTATGCTCGCAACCAATTGAATGCTGACTAGTTAGGAATCAAATTAGATGTTACTATTGGAGGAAATATCATAAAAGTTAACTGTTTTAAATTAGATCACAATTTATAATTAGATTACACTGTTTAAGTGTATTTCTTTCACATGAAACTTTTTCGACTGAGAATTCAAACCAAGTTTTTCCAAAAAGTATTCTTAATAAGTTTTACAATAAAACATCAAAATGATATTCTCTAGTTTGTGTAAGAAGCTTGAGCTTGTGATGCAAGATCTCCATTGCTCTAGGGTATTAAGTTTAATTAAGTGGTTATTTAGTAAATTCTTATCATGTATGAATATATGTAGTTAATTTAATTACGAGATTCATTGAAATAAATAGATGTTTACTTTGATAAGTTTTATCAAATGATTTATGGAAATAAACTAAAAACAGTTTGATAATAGGTATGCTATTTTTTTAAGCTTAAATACGTTATCTAGAAGTTCTGGATGTCTAAAATAGTGAGCTTATTAAAAGATGTTTGCTGCAACATACCAAAAGTGCTGTGTTCTTTGAATGTGAAATGAGTGTTTGATTGTTGCGAATTTTGCAGGTGAGGATTGTGTTTGAGGAGCCTGAAACTGGAGTTACTGTTGTTAAGCTCACGCATAGTGATGTGCCTGAAGAAGACAGGTGAGTTGGCGTTTCATCGTTTTGGTTTTGATTTGGAACTTTATGTTGCTCGGTTGAGTTACTGAGGTGATGTGGTTGCTTGCAAATGCAGATATGGGAATGCAACTGTGGTGGAGAACACACAGAGAGGGTGGCGGGACCTCATTTTCCAAAGGATAAGGGCTGTGTTTAATTTTGGAATTTGAGAGTCTCCGGATACTGTTTGTGCTGTAGAATTTTTGTTTTCTTTTTATGGATTTTTTCTTTTCAGTAAGGGAAGATTATTGGATTGGCAAAGGATCATATTATTGCGAAAGCGAAGTGTCTTCTGCAATGATTTAGCAAATTGCCTCTTGCACAATTGCAAGGTCCTGCCGCATGTATCTCTAGTTAGATTTGTGATTTGTGATCATCATTGTTAATTGTTTCTGGTGTACTCTGTCACTGTTTTAACTCGTTATACAAACAGTTCAAATTTTAAACTGGAGCTAAATTGCTCCAGTCTTTTACAAAATTAAGACAAGAGTGAAATGTCATTATGGATATGAATTTTCCAGCTGCATGTTCCTACTTATATGACATGCTGCATATGATCTAAATGAAGATTGCTGAATATGATTGTTTTGGATTATTTCAATAGAATTTTAGGAAATATTTTGAGGCAGTAGATGATTTTAGTTCTTGCATATGTGTTTGGAAGGGTTTTGTAATGGAAATAGGGGGTAATAATGATAAGATTCTTTTGCCCGGAATTTGAGACTTAATTGATATGAAATTCAAGGTTTCAAACTTCATACCGACACTCCTAAGTGATAATTATTGTACCTTTAACCCAATCATGATCTTTTCCAATTTCAAACCTCTAGGTGACTGCACATTACTTTTGTGGTTTCTGTTCGGTGTTTCCCTGTACTATCAAAGAATTCAAAACAGTTTCCAAATTTGGTGTTTGAAATTCAGTTAAATTTGTCGTTTTTGAGACGGGGATTTGATCAAGAATTTGAATTGGCCAAATGCGAAAGCTTTGCATAAAATTGTGATCATGAATCTATAAATTTCTCAACAAACAATAGTCTGAAGTGTAGAACATTCTGTTATAGTTGAATTTAAGGGAGAAATTTTACTCCATGGCGTAATGTTGCTTTTAGAGTAATTGTTCAATTTAGCCTTTTTAAATATATATCGTTATTATATTATAACTAGCATGGAAAAAGGAAGCCTTCGTAAAAAAAAAAAAATTATTGTTTCTGAGAAATATAAGTGGGAAGTTACTTTTTGTTTAAAAGGACATTTTTTTTATATATATTTTTTCTTGTTTTATCTTTAAACATAAATTGGTGAGAAAAAATAAAATATAATACAAGAGTATAATTGTCTTAAAAAAAGTGAAAACTAAAAGGAGTATTTTTTTTATATATATTGTTATAAGTTATAGTCACTGAAATTAAGAAATAGTTAAATAAATTAATAAGAGTTTTTTAGGATTTTAATTAAGTTCTTAAATTTGGTTGGCAACATTTTTGAGAATCCTTTATCCTAATTACATTTCTTTTTTTATTTTCAAAACTTGCTTTGATACCTTAAAGAATTTGAATTTAATTCTACTTATTTTACAGCAAAATTTAATACTACTTGGATTAATAATTTGTTACTTCCTTCGTTTTAAAGCTTTGGTTCTTCCAATTTAATTAGTTTTGTTTCAAAACTACATCTTTATGTAATTTTTGTAATTTTTTAAATTACACCCTTATATGCATTTTTTCTTTCCGTCCTTGGAGTGTCCACTGCCGATAGGCATGACTAATCTCCTCCTTACGTTGGAGGCACCTCAAAGGGTGGGATAGCTAACTCCAAGAGGCAGGATTCGAACTCCTGACCTTGCTTAAGCGTAGATCAACCCTTACAGTTGAACCACACACTTGGGGTTATATGTATTTAGTAATTAAGGCTAGTTTAAGTAAAATATTAATATTATTTTGAGTGGTATGAGTAAGTAATCGAGAATATTGTAAAAATTTGTATGAAGATAATTTAGTCTGTATATAAAATGTTTCTTAATCCAAGTAGAAAATCAAAATACTAAGGTTGTTGAAGGTTATATGGGTGTAGTAATTTTTCTTGACAAGGGTGTAGTAAATCACGTACAAGGGTGTAGTACTTTTTTCTTGATTTGTTAATTCATCCACTTTCGTTTTGATTTTATGTTGTAATGATTTCTTTTTGGGCCTAGTGAATTTAACATACGGTTGATTAATCCATTTTCAGTTATACCTATAACGACCCGCCATGGTCTCTACACGTAGTGGAATCGCACTACAACTAGTTAACTAAGAGAATATTAAACTGGATAACACATACATACAAGCATAAATATAAAGATCAAAATAATTAAGTTTTTGTATACAAAATAAAGCACCATATATGTACAGTCATCCCAAAATATTCCTTAGTGCCGGTCAAGCACAGACAAAACTTGTTACCCAAAATGGTAACTCAAAACACGAGGCTCAACTCCTCGTCTCGCAGCGGTCACCTCTACTCCAAGCTATCCCTGACCTGCTCCCATACCAAGTATGATCATCGCAGTCCCACCACTTGGAAACAGAAGGGTAAGCTAGAGTTCAAAAATCAATCATATAAGTACAGAATAAAAATCTATACTACACATGCATCCCAATCAAGTCCTTAAGTAACCTTCCATCTCAATCAATCATCCATTCATCAAACATGAAGTCAAACACCAGACACTCCATCATCATGACAATCATGCAATACATGCAACTCATGACAGATATCCATGCATATCAATTATCTAATGCGTCGTCACGCATACACCTAGGAGATCTCCATAACAATAGAGCTGTATAAGTGACATTCCATCCTACCGAAACCACCCCAACCGTTTTCACGCCCAATGCGCCGGCTCGGTCATAGCTAAACAGGATATAATCCTCACTCGGGTTTACTCGGATGATGTCACTTACACACTTGGAAGTCCAGATCCACCGTCAGGTATAGCACAGCTGGGTACGGGCTTACCACGACCTTGTCATGCATTAACCAAGTCAATTGTGGAGTTCTCCCACCGATTATCCGCAAGGATCCACACACCTTCCCGAGTACTTGGTTAAGGGAATAACCCTCGACCTCATACCCCGCTCTAACACTAGCTAAGGACTTAGAGGAGACTCACCCAACCCAGTGGCCTATCTGAGCACCACTCTCCCAAATCCAGTGGCCTCCCAGAGCACCACTCTCATATATCAGTGGCCTATCCAAGCACCACTCTCAAGAGACTCTATGTGAGCTCTTCCAGTTCGAAAATATTTTTCCTCTCCTCAAGTCCTAGGCTAGACTCATGCCAGAGGCATCACATGCAATCATGCATCATACATCATAATGGTCTGCCCACCATCATGATCAACAATCATACACATGTCATAAGACATCACATGCAATAATGCATCATACATCATAAATGGTCTACCTACCATTATGATCAATAAACATACTCATATGAACATATACACATGTCATATCATATTCAAACATTCATACGTATCATCACAAAGCATACATATGAATCACACCTCATCAGACATCATATATCATACATACATGATCTAAAACTTCAACTTTAAACGTACATAAACATCAATTTAAATCAATTATTTATAAATATAATTGCGCACAGCGCAGTCAGCTCGCGCCTGACCTAATACCAACCTAAGAGCTCTAAGCTCTCCCACGCCTGGCACGCTCAACCCGCGCCCGACCTGCTCTCAGTCAGAGAGTTTCAAAACTCTCATCCAAGCCAACACATCCAGCCACATGCAAACACAAAACACAATGCATAGGCTCCATACAACTCAAAATAAACTTAAATCTCACATTCATCCAACCTATGCATCAAAATCATCAAAATCCTCCTTTTTCTCAAAATCTCAAAAATAAGATTTTCTTCAATCCATCTATGGATTCTCAGCATTCATGCATCAATTGAGTTTCTAAACTCACATGCAACCTAAACAACAAACAATCTAGCTTCCCTTACTTGAAGATTGGCTCAGATAGCCAAAAACTGAACAAAAGTAGAATTTTCCTTCGTAGCTCAACCCAGAACTTCAATCTACCCAAAACAAGCTTTCTAATATGAATTTCAAGAAAAGACAGAAGACATTAATGGTCTAGAAGAGAAAAAGAATCATACAGAGAAATTTGGGAGAGAAAGGAGCTCACAGACCTAGAGACCTTCTCTCTAAAACTTCTCTCTAGAAATCTCCGATTCTCCTCACGGCCCACGCCCCTATTTATAGGCATTCCGGAGTGGCTAGAACGACCTGTAACGAAACCGGAATGGCCCGTTCTATACTCCTACGTCATGTGCAAAAACCACATGCAGAACGACCCGTTCTGAAATCAGAACGGCCCATTCTGGGACTCATCCGGAACGGCCTGTTATGCATTCAGAACGCTCCGTACTCCCTTCCAGAACGGCCCGTTCTCCATCTAGAACGGCCTGTGCTCCAACCAGAACGGCCCGTCCTCCGACCAGAACGACCCATTCTCAACCAAAATTTACAGGTCAATTTAATAGCTTGGAACGGCCCGTTCCAAATTGAGAACGACCCGTTCTGGGCTACTAAATCACTTTTTTTTTTTAACTACGTTGCAATACCAAACAATTTAGTATGTATTTTTAAGAGAAATTTTAACACAAAACATTTCAATCCTTTAAGAGAGATACAGACCAAGATCAATAATAATTGGTTTCAACTTCCTTGCTCTAACAACATCAAAATACATTAAAAAAAAAAACCTAAAATTAAGGAGTGGGAACAAGAAAACCGGAAATATGACTAAACAAAATTGTACGTCGCCTGAGAGATTCGAACTCTCGCGGGGAAACCCCATGTACTTAGCAGGCACACGCCTTAACCACTCGGCCAAAGCGACTTGTTGATATATCCATGATACATATACTTTCTATTTGAAAACTTGTTTGCATTGATTTCATGATTATACGAATAGTTAATAATATTCTATAAACGTAATCTTATATTTAAGTATTATCAATATAAAAAAAATATCTTTTATCTTTTATCCCTTTACTTACTCTATATATATATGTTAGATTTTTAACCTTTTAAATATCTTTAGAACCCTAAAAATTTTAATTGAATCAACACCTAAAAGTTAATTATATACACAATCTTCTCATGCATTTTTATTGTATCATCATACTTAAAGACAAATATTTTCTAATGTATATGAATTTGCAAAACTTATTAAGAACCCAACATGCTTATGAAAAAAAAAATAGAAAACACAACCCATTCTCTTGCTTTTCGCGTGTTTTAAACCATCGTAAATGTCATCATCATATGTAGTATGTAGCTTAATTGTAATAAGAGTAAATAAGGTGGATATGCCTAGTTCTATGCAGGGTCGGAGGGAAGGAGACTTGGAGGGACATGGTTCCTATACACCTTATTTATTATTATTATTTTTTTAATGTATCAAAATTACTATAATTTTTTTATCCCCTAAAATTTAAAAACAAAAAATGATAGATTGATAGATATTATGCTAGTTTATATTTAAGAAAAAAAATGTATATATATATATATA